ATGATCTATGGCTTATCTTATTTAGTCACAACCTATTGCTGTCTTTCCCTTGTGAAATCTTTAAATGTTTTGGCATAAAGGCCCACACATTTTGGAGTAACTAGCTAATTTACCTTTCAATCAGGCTATAGATTAGCCAGAAGTCAGGTCTAGATCTGCTTGTGGTGAGCTCAAGAACTATTTTGGATCAAGCCTGCTGTAAAGTAAGGCCAGGGATTAGACGCGTCCTCTGGAGAAAAATGGCTAGGCTGGGCCAATCCTGGCTTCGAGCCTCATCCTTGCTGGCCTAGTTGAGTGTAGTTTGAATTTGGTATTTCGGATTAGAGTTTTAGGCTGAAACAAAAGCTAACTTTCTCTATCTTTATTTTTCAGTTCCTCGCCACTCTGATGGAGTTCTACCTGCACGGTGCTCTTCCCGAGTTTTTCTTCCCCGCTCTGGCAGGTGTTTCCTGGGGATTTTTCTCGTTTTTAGGCTGTCAGGCGCTGTTTGTGAGTTTTTCTACAAATTTGCCCAAAACAACCATTAAAAACATCCAATTCATAGCTGTGAACTTGGAAATGAAAAGTTAAAAACATGTTTTTCAGGCAATCGGTGGTTTAATCGTTGTTTCAATGACCCTTTCAACATTTCAATGTATCGCTTACAGACATTGGTTACTTCTTGAAGCGAATTCTGCATTAAAGTAAAGATGAAAGAAGTAAAGCACTTGAGGCTTGTGGCTTGAGCTTGAGCACTTAGCTAGGTCGTCAAGTCATTCATTACTCCAATTTCTCTATGATACAAGGCTGATTTTAGAGTGACTTCCAAGAATTTCATGATAATCTCCATTGTGCACTACATCTTTTTCAATGTCTGGGCTCTTTTTGGGATTTTAGCAATGCCGATTGAAACAGGACCGAATCAACCATTTTTGATGGGAATTATTGAGGTGTTTCTTGCATAAAATCTCATATAACACTTGCTTTGTACCTTTTTTATCTCAGAAAATGTTGAAGAGTTCTGCGACTTGAGCAAAGGCTTGAGCACTTAGCTAAGCAGTTAAGTCATTCATCACTCCAATATCTCTATGATACAAGACTTAGCCAATGATCCTTAAATTAAGGTGATTAATGAAAACTAGATTTTAATACGGTACGGTAGTTTTCTAGCATCATTATGTATTAGAAAACTTGCTTGATAGCTTTGATCAACATTTCCAGAAGTCTCCAACTTACGCCTATTTGAAGTTATTTCCGGGTATTTGTGCCTCAGCAACATCACCTCTCTATCCGCCTTACTTCAATTTTTCTTCAGTGCTCATCGTTTTTTCTGTCATTGTTTGCTTGATTTGTTATCTTTTACCAATGGTGAGTTTAGTTTCAGGCTCAGTTACCGTACCCCAGTTACCCGGATCACAGTAGCTAAGCTGTCAACTTTATCGTAAGATTGAAACACAAAGCTGGTATAGAGGATAGAGATTATAGTGAAAATTATGGTTTAAAAATTTAGATCGGGTTACGGTAGGTCAGGCATGCTTTAGAGCGCCTTAAGAGCTCAATAAGTACATAAAATTTTTGCCAAACTATTGTACACAGAAGTACATAATAAGTACAGAAACTCTTTTTGCCAAAAGAAGACAATATACTGTGTCATTTCTTACACAAATCTTTTTAGGCTGGTTACGCCGTGTGGCATTCATATGTAATTTTGGAGGACAATGAACGACACATGAGTTTGTCGACGAAGAATATGCACAAAAGATATATGAAAACTTTGCTAATGGCGGTTTGGAGATCTGAGCTTACAATTTCATCAAAATTCTCAGGTTGCTGTTCCATTATTATCAATGGGCATTCCCTATGCTTTCTATCTCTACGTTGGAATGGCTAGAGTAATGGTTCCACAAGGTAGAGGAAGTTTGGCTTTAGTAATCTTTCTAAACCGATTCCTGCAGCCAGTTTGATCAAGTATGAACTTCTAAATCCATGGTTTCGCTTAACATTGTCACTCTGACTAATAATTATTAGATAAGATCTCAAATTGTCACTGATCAATGACAAGGAAAGGTCGACTGGGTTTGCCAAATGACAATGGTCACCCTGTTGACAATTACAACGGCCAAATGACATGAGCCATAGACGATTCGAAGCAAAATTGCACGCTGAATCCGAATCTGCTTTCCGTTTTTGCAAAGCAGCACTTTGTCAAAAGTTATAAGCTTTCAAAGATTTGTATGGCATTTTAAAAATCATCTCTCGAGTTGACGAGCAGATTTCCCAGACGCTTTGAGGCTTTGAAAAGAAGTGGTGATTGAGTGGCAGTTGGTTAGAATACAAGGCAAACACTCTCGAGTTCGAGTCCGTAGCTTGACTATTTTTGCTTTTTTTAGAGGTAATTGATCTCCATTTCAAATACAAATCTTTTTCAAAATACTTATAAAAGTGTTTATTAACTATTAATATTAAACAATAATCACTAAAATCTAAAACATTGAGTCTTGATTGTTTGATTGATTGACGTTGATTCTACAAAATTCAAAATTCGAATAGTATTAGGTTGATGCAAAAGTCTTTTCGTTCCTTTTCGTCTGCCGTTTCAAGCCAACAAATGCACCAATTAAACTACGGTTGATTTCATTAGAAAAACCAATTATTTTTCTGCAAAATAACATTAAACGGGTTTAAAAATATTTTATGCCTGGATTTTCTTGAGAGTATGAAGTCGGGTAGTCAAAAAGGGCTAACTCGATGATGCGGTTTAGACACCTTAGCTAAAGAAAACCTATCTTCGTGTCAATAGATAAAAGATAGAGAAAAAAAGTTTGATATTTCGCCAAAATTTCAGAGAAATTCATTCAGCCAATTTTTCCGTAGAGTTTTTTATAGATTTTTACGAAAAAGGCGTTTTTCACTCTCGAATTTGCTTGAAAGTGAACCGAAATTCATTTAAAAAGATGCAAATTGAACAAAAAAAACACTTTTTTTATAGAGCAAACTATAGATTAATTGGTGAATTTGTTACTTTTTAACAGAAGTACGAAAAAAATGAAAAAGACTTTTGCATCAACCTAATATATACAGTACTGGACAATGAAATCTCATATTTGAAACACAATCGTCACTTTTGCGCGCGCTGAAATGCGTCAAAAAATACGGTATTTCTAAATATTAATATTACCATTGTGTAGCCTTTGAAAAGAGCTTTCAGAAAATGTATAACAGTAATAGTTTAAACTCAAAGACAAGGAAGTTACAGACGTGCGAACGTGATCATCATTTTTCAAATATGGTATTTCCCTGTCCAGTACTGTAGCTCGTGTCATTTGGCCGAAACACCCGGTTGACTGTCCCTTGTGAGTATCAACCTGAAACTGATCAAATCATACTTTTCATTAGATTTTTGACCAGTTTAAAGAATAATCTTAACCAAGTAAACTTAACAACTCAAATTTTGGTTTATAAAGCAACCAGTAAAGCTTCAGTCTACAATAATATTTGTGCTTGTATCCATCTCCTTCACACGACAATCTCTTCAATCATAATCATTTTCTCAACAAGACCATATCGATCATTTATGCGGAAAAAGATTCTGCGAATATTTAAAAGAGATCACATCGTTTTAAATGTTCGACAAAGCACCCAAACAAACATTGATGGAAGAAGCGGATATTTTTGAGTGAATAAAGTATTGCTTTTGCTTAACACATTCACGATAAAGTCATTTTTAACTTGACTGCGGTTTTGCACGACAGATGTTAGCTGTAGACCTTAAAATTTGCAACTGGAGGCAATCTGGGATAGAGAATCTGAATCCGTTATTAGTTTTTGAGGAGCTTTAATTTCCGAACCAACAAGTTCATCACAAAACTCTTTAAAACCTGGGTAAATAAACCGAATAAAATATCCAAAAATAGAGCAGTTTTCTTTAAAAACTAATAACGGATTCGAATTTCTCGTCCTCGAAAACCCCTGATTGTAAATTTTCAGCCTAATCGACGTCAAAAAGCGTCAAAAAAGTGCTAAATTAGAAGAGATCACGAAGCTTAAGGTTTCGTTTAACCGCTTGAGAGTTTATGATTTTGATTTAGAGTCGAAAATAGCTTTTTTTTTGAGATCTCATGGCACTAATAATTGCTGCTTAGACTGGCGATTTTTTAATTACAAGTGTTTGATTTTAATTGAGTGTTTGAGCTGGGCAGAGACACGGAGTTTCAGGAATCAAAGAGTAAATAAAAAGGAATGGGTTCAGAGTTTGAGAATAGATTGGTAAGTAGTTATTTTGGCTTTAAAATTTGGATCATTACGAATCTAATCTTTGATCACGTTGCCCATGCTTCATTTCTTTTCTTGGAAAAGCTTAGACTTCAAGAAAGTGATTACTCTGATGGCCAACAAGATTGACTTCTCAAAGCACCTGCAAAAGTCTTTGCTCCACTTTTTTTAATACAAAACACTAGCTAGATTCATTAAAAGCTGATCGAGATGTTACTCACTTACGAAATTCCAAGTATTTACATAATTTATTCAAACATAACACTGATCATCGGAACGCCAATAAATCTATTTACTTTGTGGATGATTGTCAAGGTTTCGCCGGAATCAGCGAGTACATATCGATATCATTTAGCGTGGTATCAGGTGAGAGTTGGAGTTGATCAAGGATTGACAAACTTATCAAAAGATCAAGAAATATTAAAGATTAAGCTCAGGGATAGATAGCTTATAATTGTCAGTCCAATTGGAGCACTTGTCGCCTCTGTAGCTAGCAATAAGCTTTTAATTTTGGGACTTTAAATCTTCGAATTCGTATATATTGAAAACCAGTATATATTGATTGAATCAGTTCACTAATTGGGAAACTGAAAAGGATCCGTTTTGCCCATTGGATCAAAGTTATCTTCCATAGTTTTCAGTTTTTGGCCACTCTAATGGAATTACATTTTCACGGCGCCATTCCTGAGACATTCTTTCCCACAATGGCTGCCTCAGCTCATGGGTTTTGGCATAAAATGGGAGTCAGCATGCAAACGATTCTGGTTAGCCATCGAACTGGATTTGTTTCAGCAGTAGACATTTTTCAGCTCATCGGTGGAATCTTGGTGATGACAATGCTCATCTCCACAGCACAATGTGTTGGCTATCGACATTGGCTCATTTTAGATCAAAGCCACCCGATGAAGTAATGAATATTTTGGAAATTTTATAATGAATACACTTAGAGTCACTGCAAGGCAGTTTACAATTGCTGTTCTTGTAAGTTATGCATTTTTCAATGGAATGATTGCTTTTGCGATTGCAACGATGCCGGTCGAATGTGGGCCAAATCAACCGAATTTGGCAAGGATCATTCAGGTGATCATTAGAGAAGAGCAGACTTATTATTTGAAAGTATCTATAAAAACATAATAGCACTGTTACCATTATAGCTTGACTCAAGTAAATCACAAATGCAAGTTAAAGTATTCCAAAATCCTTTTCCGGGCCTGATCAGCGAAAGACAGGGTCAAGTCCTGACCTAGCTTTACAGGTCCAGTGCTTGGGGCCGAAGCCAGGTCAGGCCGATGTCTAATGCTTACAGGATTCGGATAGAACGTCCCAAAACCCACAAATTGTTCCTCAACAGTACTATAGTCCTATTTTTTCGTTGAATGTCTATTTAGATGTATCCTGACATGGTTTTTCTTTCATCTCTAACCGATATCTGCAGTCTTTATACAGCCCCAGCATTCCCACCGTATATCATGATTAACTCAATGACGATTCTATTCTATGAAGTCATCATTTTTGCTGTCTACAGCCTACCAACAGTGAGCTAACATTAAGATTTAAAACTTTCAATTCGTTTCAGTGCACTTTCATCATAATTCATTCCTTTTTGTTGCTAGATGGTAGAAGTGTCTATATGAGTGAAAAGACAAGACAAATGCATAAGCAATATCTCGTATTATTGATTCAAGGAGTAAGTAAAACTTAATGAATGATAGTGATTCAAAGAAATCAAGGATAATGATTTAGATGCTTGTACCGATGCTCTTAATAGCCATACCGCTTGTGTTTTTTGCGTATGTGCTCGTGACAAAGACTTTTGTACCTCAAGGTAGGATTTGGGGATTCGATGATAAGTCTAACTGGTTTTCTTTGATCAGTGCATTGTTTCGACTTTAGTTTTAAAGTTGATCAGTTAAATTAGAGCTTCTTTCCTTTTCCACCTCACTTTCAGCTCTTCTCAACTTTCTTTGGTCATTGATGTTCGCTCACACTTTTGTCTGCTCACTGAACATTCTCTTCACTTCAAAACATTACAGAGCAACGATTATGAATTTTATGAGACGCCACTTGAGACGGTAAACCTTCTATATTAAATTGTACTCAATAGCTTCAATAATGCCAGTCACCTATTCTACGCAGGAGCTTATTCGTTTAGTATACGGTAGCTAACTGACTATGATTTCTGTATTAGAATAAACTAAGAAAGTCTGCATCAATGTGATGGAGAGTAAAAGGTAAAACGTAAAACGTGAAATTTAGCAACGTCAATCAACCGATGACAATCGTTTTCCCAAAAACAGAAATAATTCCAATATCCATTTGGCATGGAAAAAGCTCACAAGTGATTTGGAAATAAAATTTACGTACATATTTTTTAGAAGTCATTCCAAGCACCACAATCATCAAAGTTCAATTTTTTAAACAAAGAGATTTTAAAGGATTTATCAAGACTTCAAAAAAAAGAAAAGCAAATGCGATTTTGAAAAATGCTTTTATGATAAAATGTCATACATCCAAACTATCAGAATATGAACTTTTCATAATGCAAAATGCGGAATTTCAGCAATTCACCTGCCTTTCCAATTTAGCTTTTTAAGATCTTTATAAGAAGGAGAAATAGTACAAGGTTTTTAATTGTTCTGGCACAGACTGGCAATATGATCATGATAGTGGTACTGGAAAATGCCATTTTCCAGTACCAATAGCATGATCATGTTGAGATCATGGAGATTATGATCATGTTGAGATCATGGAGATCATGATCATCACTATTTCTAATTTCAAGCTAGTGTATGAAAGTGAGAATGTCTTTTTGAGTTTTTCAAAAGTAGTTCCAAAGTTAGAAAACATGAAACGATTATGGGAAAGTACAAATTCCACTCAATTCTTGTCTTGCCTGAATATCGTTTCTTCCCCGAATATATTAGGGTGGTGCAAAAGAAACTGCCGATGGGTATCAGCTCTCATTTATCAGAAACGAGCGATGCTAACGGCATTATTTTTTTTATGTTTTGTTCGCATATTTGTTTGCTATTTATTTCGACATTTGAATTTTTTGGTTGTTGTTTTTTTATTAAAAAATGCTTATATTTTTTATTTAGACCATGGTCGAGCAAAAGTTTGTGCTACGAGCAGCATTACTGTTTAACTTCAAAATTGGAAAGTCCGTTGCCGAATCGCCTCGTTCTCTCTGTGCTATTTTCGGAGATGGCAGTTTGTCTCTCAGGCAGTGTCAGACTTGGTTTCAACGATTCCGAGAGGGAGACGAGACTTTGGAAAATTACGAGCACGGTTCGAGGCCAGAAGTCGTGAACGAAGCCATGCTGAGGGACTTTATTCAGGCCGATCTATGCCAGTCTGCTCGAGATCTTGCTCGAGCTCGAGAAAATATTCAATTGTGATCATGTCACCATCGAACGCCATCTTTTTTTTTTAATTTCCCGTCAAATAGGCAGTTTCTTTTGCACCACCCTAATAGTTATATATTGTTAAAATCCTTCGAGGGCTCGACCTCGAAGCATTCGAAGCATTGGTTAAAAAGGGAAGAGGACTTCGAGCAGCAATCGTGACAAGCAAAACGCTTGAAAGGGGCTGGGCGCCGTTTGTCTTCGATTGAGATGGAAGACGAGCTGTTGAAGTAGATTCGTAAACAGTGGGAGGCAAAACTTTTGGTTTCTCGCCGACTCATTTGAAAACAAGCTCTTCGAATTCGATCTGGATACTTGGTGGACGAATTCAACAACAACTTTGAAGCCTCCGAAAGATGGCTATAAAGGTTTCTCAAACGAAATGGATTCTCTCTTCGGGTGCCCACGTCGATTGCACAGAAACCACCAAAGGAATTTGAATAAGCCAAAGGAATTCGAATCTTAAACTTTGTGATCTATCTTTCCAGTGATGGACGATGATTTCGAGAAGAAAAATGCTGGAAATTTGAAAGACTTTCCGATGAAAGTTTACCTACAATGGGATGCCTGAGAAAGTCTCCCAAAGAAGTGGAAAAGACTAATTGAGAAGTCGTTCAAGATTTGTGGAATTACAAACGATGTGACTAGAGATTGATCAAAACCACTGTTTCAGCAAGGACGGCCTAATCCCCAACGGATTCTCGAAGCTTTTAGAAGCACGAATCGATCAAACCTGTGCCGAATTGCTGGAAAAAAATTGGCTTAAACGAGGATGTGAACAATGAGTTTGTCGACACGCATGACCATGGCCGTTTATTAGAGTTTTTACGGTAGTAAATCTCAATAAAAGAATACATAAATGTTTGATTTCCACTTGGAAAAATAAACTAAAATAACTTTTTTACTTAAAAACTTGAGAAATTATTTTTAAAAACAATAGCATGGCAAGGTGATTTTATGAAAAAATTGGTTTTTTTTTTTCATAAAACGAATTTTTTTGAGTAGGATTGCTTTGAAAAATCAAATATAGAAAAGAATAAAATTAACCTTTTCTTAATTAACTGTGCACAAGCTAAACTACCGAGAATCTGCTTTTCGCAGTCGAAATTTCACCTGCACTCATCAACCAGTGCTTCTGCAGTATTTATTTTTGTCGGGTTTGCTCTGAAGACAATTTTTGGGGCTTTGAATTTACTGAATGAATTCAACGATATTAATCATTTATCAACGACCGAATTTCTATATAAAACAAACACTCAAATAGCATATCTGCTTCGTTTGAATCATTGCAATAAAATTTTAGCATTCAAACCTGAGAGCACAGCATTTCACTTATTTGCTAAATTTATTTTGTATAAATCAATTCATAAACCAAGACGGGAAACTGAATCATTAAAACAACCCTTTTTAGCTCAAAACCCTTTCGTCGATTCATATTCTCACAAAAAAGAAACAGGAATAATAAACAATATAATGCCAGCAAAACATAGCAATAAAAGATCAATGATCGATCATTTCATCAGGTTTGATGTAGAAGGCCAAAAAATAACCCGTGGACAACATCTAGATGCAATCTCTCGTCGCGTTGATACTCCGTAGGAAACACGGAGTTTTCATCTCCAAAACGCGATCATCGTTTAGCCAATACAAATTATCGTTTGCCAATGCAATTTTCCTAAAATTTTCTCAAATTTTCTGAGATTTTTCATCATCTCAAAGTAAAAACCAAAAAACCGGGATTAGTCTTAGTAAAACTGAGACATTTACTAAGACTTATCCCAGAAATATTAAGCTGTCCAGTCAATCTTTTCGTTCCTTTTCGTACTTCTTTTTGAAAAATAACAAATTCACCAATTAACCTATGGTTTACTTTAAATAAAAAGTGTTTATTGTTCAATTTCCAATCTATTGGAAAATAATTGGTCTTTCTAATGAAATAAATCGTAGTTTAATTGGTGCATTTGTTGGTTTTAAACGGAAGTACTAAAAGGAACGAAAAGACTTTCAGGAATAATAAACAATATAATGCCAGCAAAACATAGCAATAAAAGATCAATGATCGATCATTTCATCAGGTTTGATGTAGAAGGCGAAAAAATAACCCGTGGACAACATCTAGATGCAATCTCTCGTCGCATTGATACTCCGTAGGAAACACGGAGTTTTCATCTCCAAAACGCGATCATCGTATAGCCAAGACGAATTATCGTTTGCCAATGCAATGAATGGCTGACGATTTTTCCTGCTGACCTTTTTCATTCCTGGATATCCCGTAAGAAAAGCAAAGGTTTCGGCCTTCATATCGCGGGTCAATCTGCCGTAAACTGCAGCAGAAGCTTCGGGGTTTTTGCTCGGAATACCGTGGTTGACAATCCATTGAATGGCTTCCGCCGAGTTGAGACTTCTGCGGCCAATAAATCCAACATGCTTGATGTGGGTCTTTATCGAAGCCTTGTAGTAAAAGTGGAAATAATCATCACTGTCACAATCAAGGTGGACTATCTCACATTCGTTGAGTTGAGTCTCAATGAAATGCTCAACAGGACCATGTTTCGATAGAGCTCCTGCGGGGAAGATGATGCTGAATGGCTGACGATTTTTCCTGCTGATCTTTTTCATTCCTGGATATCCCGTAAGAAAAGCAAAGGCTTCAGCCTTCATATCGCGGGTCAATCTGCCGTAAACTGCAAACTGCAAACTGGTGTTTTCTCATGAATCTAATTTTTTTGACTAGGATTGCTTTGAAAAATCAAATGTGGAATAGAATAAGATTAACCTTTTCTTTTTTTCGCAGTCAAAATTTCTCAAGATCGAATTCGAAGAGCTTTTTTTCAAATGAGTCGACGAGAAACCAAAAGTCAAAAAAATTTTTTCGCAATCAAAATTTCACCTGCACTCATCAACCAGCTTTTCTACAGTCTTTCGTTTTTGTCGATTTTGTCCTTGAGACAATTTTTGGTGTTTTGAATTTTGAATTCATCATATTAATGAATTCAACAATATTAATCATTTATCAACGTCCGAATTTATATATAATGTATTCGTATATATCTTTTGCTCTCGGGTTTCCAATCAATCTTTTCACTCTCTGGGTGATACTAGCAGTGAAACTTGAAATGGCAAGCATTTATCGATGGCATTTGGCTTTTTATCAAGTGAGTTTGTTATTGTAAAGCTCAATTTTCTAAAAAGTGAGCCAATCTGGTAGGGTTGCTCACCAAAACGATGAGATTTATCGATTTCTCGAAGAGTTTTGTTAGATTTTTAGATCAATCACCAAACTGTAGCCAGATTCGTCGATCCTAGGACTCAAATTCATGATTATCACTCAAAAATTTATTTCGATTAACTCAAGAATTCAGTGCTGGTCTATTCTGTTTGATTTGGTGATTCACATGTCGAATCCCGAGTTCTTTTTCCCTACGTGGACCGGTAGACCGCATGGTCCTTTGGCTCAATGGGGTACCCTTAATGTGAAAATATTCTTGGTCAGTGATTTCGAATGAATAGCACAACTGATTAGTCTACATTATTTTAAATCTTGGGCTTGATTTGCCTTAGGATGAAAGCAAGGACTATAAGCCAGATCAGGTCAGGCAAGATAGGTTTAAAGTTCGGCAAAAGCCAGCCAGGCAAAAGCCAGCCAGGCAAAAGCCAGCCCGGTAATTT